AAGTCAGAGAGGGGGGGAGAGTCCTTTCCTCGTATGAACTGAACCCAGCTGATCATTTGTTACCTCTTAATAAAAGTTAAACTAAATGTGTCTGTATTGAAGGTGGATATTTTTAAAATTGCAAATAGCAGTTGGTGGGTAGGAGGGACTGTCAAAGCAATTGTGATGGGGGAAATTGAAACCTTTCCTTCCCTGGAAAGATTCTGGAAAATACTTTGGTGAAGAAGAGGCGGGGGGGAATTTGTGTTTAAGGGATCATGTTTTACTATTTCCTTAAATTTGCATTTAATGCTTGGTTCTTGCTAAGCTTAGGCTACAATGGAGTCTTCCTAGATCTGGTTATCTCTACAGTTTCCACAATTCCTGAATTCCATGGACCAGATCGGCAGAGACTTCTGATTCTAATCATCTGGAGGGTTCAGGTTGGGCAAGGCTGGCTTATACGAGTAACTAGATACATGTAGATATGAAAAGGTTCACTCGGAGGACAATCCTGAGGCTCTATCAGTGGCATTTATAGAAGTCACAGATAATCTCAATTCATCTCTTCTCATCTTAATAGAATAGGATGTTGGTGGAAAGTGAATGCCACACTGACAGGTTTAACCTTTTCTGAAGAAGTAAGAAGGTTCAAATATTAACCCTCTGGGGGAATCAATTTACTTTGTTTTCCTCCACAGATAGCAGCATGTAGCCAACTTAGTCTCTGCTCAGGAACTAAAGGGGGTCAAGTCTATTAGGACTCAGAAAGGAGACCACCTGGGAATCCTAAGCAAAATTGATCTGTAGGCAAAATAGAGGAGGCACCCTTTCCCCACCAACCCCAAATCTGTGGAAAAAGCATTGGCGGTAGAAACCCATTGCTGCTAAGAAAAATACATGGTTAGATTTGTGAAGTCATTAGGAATTAAACTTGACTCAAGGGTGTTTTTATTTTCACTGCAGTCATAGATATTGTAACTGGGTAGTGAACCATGTTGCAGTTCAAGCAGGAGTGGTATTCAGCAGGTTTTGACCAGTTCTGGAGAACCGGTAGTGGAAATTTTGAGAAGTTCAGAGAACTGGCAAATACCACTTCTGACTGGCCCTGCCCCCATCTATTCTCTGCCTTATGAGTCCCAGCTGATCGGCTGGGTCTTCTTTTGTTGCCCTGCACAGGAGAACGCAGCTGGAAAGCAGGTTAGTGGGGTGGGGAGGGATTGGATTTTGCAGTAACCTTCCCCCAGGAGTGGGATGGGAATGGAGATTTTACAGTATCCTTCCCCTGCCACACTCACCAAGCCACGCCCACAGAACCGATAGTAAAAAATTTGGAATCCCACCACTGAGTTCAAGATTAGATCCAGTCACCTGCCCCAAGTAGGATGCCGGCTAGCATCGAGCTTAAAAACTGCAGAAATTAGCCTCAGACCAACATACGGTGCCTCTGCCTTCCCAAAAATAACAGATGCTCAGCCCATAGCAACACGATCCTTTGGGGGATTTGCTAAAAACATCCCATATTATTATTATTATTATTTTAAGCTCTGTGTTTTCCTGCTAACAGATGCATACTGAAAGTGACTCAGTTACTGTAATGAAGTTCAGCATCTCTACGTGGCAAGCACACCAACTCTATGGAAATTAGTTTTAATTATATATTGTGTTTAGCTACTTCTTCAATCAACAAAGTGTAAATATTTTGAATAAACATGGATTCTTTGATAAACAAAATGGTGAAGGAGAATGCGAGAAAGACAGAGGGCTCTGATATTGTTCTTGGGATCTATTGGGACCTATTGCAGCCACTCACCCCTCTCAGGAGCCCTGTGGGTATCAATTTTGAACTACTTTATTAGAGCATATTCAGCACCTTCTCTTTTTACCTTTCTTTTCTTTTTTCTCTTTCACATTTACAACATCTTTTTTTAAAAAGGTACTTACGTATGTAAAATATTTGAATAAAATCTATTTTAGAAAAAATAAAAGCTATATATAATAAAAATCAAAGCTCATAACAATCACAACATTAAATGTATCTCTTTTAAAAATATGAAGGCTTAAATTGCCTGAATTACACAAAAGAACTTAAAAATAGAATCATTCTAGCAAATATACCTATGTGGGAGAATTGTTCCAAAACTTGGGTACCCCACTATATACCCCTATTATTAGCTCTCTTGTGTTCACATATTGGAATACCAACCTCTCTTTCAGCTTTATTAGGGTTAAGGTTAAATTTGTAATAATGTAAGAAAGTTGTGTTTGACCCACCTTCCCCAAGAAAATGCTATCTAGGTATTCTCAAGCTAACATCCAACTCAGAAAATTACAGTCTTAACAAATCTGGAAGGCAGTTTAGGCAGGGTTTCTCAAACATGGCAACTTTGAAATGGATGGACTTCAACTCTCAGCCTGGCTGGGAAATTCTAGAAGTTGAAATCACATCTTAAAAGTTAACAAGTCTGAGAAACATCAGCTTAAGGAATACCATTCTAATACAAAGTACAAACACATCCGCGAATGTTTTTTTGAAATGCACAAATCAGGTGAAGGGGAATCAAGTAAGTTGTTGGTGAGCATGTTGGCACCATGTAATATTTTCAGCACTGATAACCCTTGTATTGCAAACTGTGTCTGGGCATAGCAGGAAAGTTCATTCTACAACATGCAGGCAATTTTTTCTTTGAAGGAAACTGACAGGATAACGTTTTTACAGCACATAATAAATAACCCAGGCCACATGTGTAAATAGTATGCCTGGTATATTTTCTTAACATATTTATATCTTGCTCTTGTTCCCGTTGATTTTACTTCCTTTCCTTTGCTCTTGAAACGGTCATAAAAGATAAGTGCTGCTGTACTCCTATTACTGAGGCATCTGCCAGCATAAATTATACAAGTAAAGTAGAGAGGATTCTAGCCTGTGCTGGAATATGATGGACTAAAGACCAACATGCTTTACCATCACAATTAATTATGGACTATTTGTCTGCCTCTTATTTCACAGCATTGCACATCATAGGGAAAAGCTAGATTTGCAGACTTCCCATCAATATATATACATATTGTCTTGCTTAAACCTGAGGAAGTTTCTACTTATGTTGACCAGGAATGCTAAAATCTGGTCTAGAAACCTGGACATTTAGTACAATGTTGTAGGACTACCGTATATGATTGTTTTTGACATTCTGGCTTTATTTGACTAATTCATTGTCCCAGGAGCAGTTTGGTTCATGAATCAGCTGTTCTTGGAAACACTATTTGCTCTCCAGCTGCAAATTATCTTAAATGCCAACCTCTTGCTGGCATTATCAGAACTACTGGAAAGCAGAGGGAGCAAAAAGTCTTTACTCAGTTTATTTTTATTTTGCTATACATTATATCCTACTTTCCCTTAAAGAACTCAGTATAACAAGTCCTGCCTCCAGTTTCCCCCCACTACATCAAAACTGAGAGACTGGGCTAACACATATCAACCCAATATCACTCAGTAACCACAGCTAAGGGTGACTTGAGCCCAAGTTTCTCGTTCTTCATCAACAAAGTTTATAAAACTACATCTAAGCAGTGTTAGGCAGTATCAGTTTTTATCTTGTGTTCTTTAACAGTAAATATTCTGCAGGATCCAATCTGGATCACCGGGACCAGAGGGTCAGTCTTCTGAGCTTTCAGTCTCATGCTGGAGCCCATCCTCAGGGAGATTCTATCTCACCAAAATGTGCCCTTCTGGCATTCTGGTGAAATAGAAATTCCCTGAGGATGGCCTCCAGCATTGAGTCCAAAACCTCAGAAAACTAATTCTCTGGTCCCGGTGATCCAGATTGGATCCTGCAACATTATCCTGGAACACGTATTTTTGCCTCCATTCGTGAGTGAATATCTTCCTTTCTGTGTAAGCATTTGCGTCATCCTTAAACATAATTCAGGTGACTACAGCCTGATGGACACATTGGACTTAATAGCAGAATTAGAGGCTGTCTTTTCATTCACATGGTTAAAGCTTAAGTTCTGTCCTGAATGTTTTTGAATGATTACTATCCGCTCTTTGCTCAGTTTTTTACTTTCTCTTTATTTCATCTGCAATGCTTTCTTTCATGGCTTTTTAGATGTTATCAGTTTAAAGCTGGTATCTCCTTTTAGCTTTCACCTAAATGTGGAACATTTCTTCCAAATGTGCCTGCTGGCTTGGCAGAGTTCTTGCTTTTTGGAAACAAATCGAACAACTTTGACTGCCGAGCTTGGAAATTCTGACATGCCGGAGGTGGCACAGATTTTTGATAATTGAAATATTATAAAAACAATAATTTGGCTGAAACTCAATCAATTAAATATTTTCTTGTTTTGCTTTGTTGTCTTTCGTTTCTTTCCTGAGCTAATTGATGCATATTTTACCTGTTTCTACCTTCATGGGTATTATCTGCGGTGCTGCATATCTAGAAAGTGCTAGCATATCCAGCTTTAATAACTCAATCTTGACCATTGCATGTAAAGTGCAAAAGAACCATGCTGTTCAAGGAAATGATTTTTGATAAGGAGGGAAAGTTAACAAATCCTCCATGCACCCTCTTTCTTCTGTTGATGTTGTTTCTTTTCACCTGCCAAGACTAAAATCTTTGTCCTGAAGCAGAAATAGGCAAACCGTGGCACTCAGCCCAATTTCTGAACTGTCTTTGTAAGTTATCAGATCTCTGAAAGAAGCCTCTCACCAGCCAGTGTGGCTATTTCTGAGCATGCTAGAAGTTGAAGTCAGCACATCTGAAAGTTACCCACTCTGGAGACTAAGAGATGAAAGAATTATTTCCTGCTCTTAAGCCTGGAAGGAGGCAATTGATGATGTTTGTAAGACCATAAAACAAAGATATTTAATGGTAGATCTTATTTAAATGTATCCAGCCTAGCCTTCATCTCAGAATCAGTTTGGAGTGTGATAAAAATACTATTTATTTTCAAGTCTTCATGCTAATGGTCATAATGCTACTAGACTTGTCGCACTCATTTGGTTCCCTTTCCCTTTTCAGTTTGGCAGGACAGAAGTCATTGACAACACCTTGAACCCTGACTTTGTGCGGAAGTTCATCCTCGATTACTTTTTTGAAGAGAAGCAGAATTTGCGCTTTGATCTGTGAGTGACATTTTTCTTGGTCTTCTAAAGAGTGAGCGTGTGAAGGGAAAACCAGTGTGCACCTATAAGGACTTCTCCATTTGGCTCTATCCTGTAATTGGTGAGATTCTGTGAAGAATATGAAAGTGCTTTGCCTTAACAGGGGATGCACTGGGGGGAAAAACAGTGATGTGAGATGAGATCTAAAGGGGGTTTCTTTATGCTGAGCTCCAAGGGCATCAATAATTCTATGCACAATAAAGGCAGAGTTTTCACTTTTCAGTAAGTTCCAAAATTTGTGAATATAATACATTACTTTCAAAAATTTATCTCCCCCCCCCCCATATTGTATTATAATTAGTATAGGGTTATGTTTCAACATCTGCATGATGCAAAGGGTGCATGTCAGAAGAAAGTTAAGACACTTACATGTGGGTCTATTTTACGCTGACATTAAACTTATATAATGTCAGTGTAAAATAGAACCAGATATAGGTGTCTTAACTTTCTTCTGAGGTGCTCCCCTTGCCTCATGCAGATATTGAAACATAACTCTTGCCAGACATCCTTTGGACCCTCTACTAGCCATAGGAAATATTCTGCTGTTTTATTATCCAGTTATTGCATACTGATTTAGCAATCAGTAAAATACTAGCTCATTGATTTCTTAAGACAGAATAGTCCAACTTATTAGTCTAAATTGTCTCCAAATAAGCCCATATTTATCTAAATACATCATTTTAGTTATAAATAAATTAACTACAGGTTTAGCAATTTTGAGAACATTTCTAATAATATCAGTAGTTTAGGACTTCTTTTGAGTTTCTTTCTCACACTTTTTCTCTTTCTTGGTTTTAAGTGATTTTTTTTCTTCTCCCCTAAGAGTTTGTTATTCATTCCCAATGCAGATCTTTCTTTCACAATGTTCCATCTCCACTCATTTGATACCTGAAATATTCTTAGATGTTTAGATAGAGGTCAATAGTGCCAAAATCACATTAAATAAAAGTAAAGTAGAAGTATTAAAGGAAACACTCTTGATGAATTCCTCATAGTATTCTAATAGGTGAAGAAATAATTCCACTTGTGATAATCCTTGCAATGGGCTAGAGAACCAACTTTATTCCAATTTTTAAAATTTGAAAGGAAAACCAAAAACAGGTAGTCTCAGTTTACTACTACAACCGAGCCCAAAATTTCTGTTGCTAAGCAAGATAGTTGTTGAAGTGAGTTTTGCTGCTTTCTTGCCACGGTTGTTAAGTGAATCTGGCTTCCCCATTGACTTTACTTGTCAGAGGGTCACAAAAGGTGATCGCATGACAATGTAACTGTCATAAATATGAACCAGTTTCCAAGGATCCAAATTTTGATCATGTGACTATGAGGATGCTGCAATGGTCATAAATGGGAAAAATGACTATAGGTCACTTTTTTTAGTGCCGTTGTAACTTTAGTCACTAAATGGTTGTAAGTCAAGGACTATATCGTATCAAAAACTTCCTTGGCATTCAATGAAACAAATGTCATCAAATCCAATATATCCAATTGTATATCTATTATATCCAACAATTATTGAATATTGTCTGTTGCTTGGCATCCTTTAGTGGAATCAGATTGTTCCAGATGAGGTCTCAAAGGTTGTATACCTTATAGCCGGGGGCTGGATGCGTCACGCGCTGGCCATGCCCATGCCTGGTTTAGTGAAGGGGGGGAAAGTCCTGATATGTCATGTGACACCGCCATGACAGCATGAGTTTGACACTCCTGCTATAGGCCAAAGATTTGCCAATATTGTAGCATCCACTTTTAACAAAGGAAGTAATTTATACATTCTGTAGTATTGAACTTACAGTAGCTTCAAAAGTTTAGTTATAAATAGAAGAAGAGAAAACTATACAAAAAAAAGATTTTTATATTCATGTATTCAGCAACATAGGAAGGGAAAAAACAATAAATACCTTGCAGCTAACTTCTCAGATTTGGACTGTTACAAATGATGCCTTCCTAACTTGTGCAAAAATGCCTTGGTATTGTTTGAGTCTTAGTAAATATATGTGAACTATTGCTGAAAGAGAAGAGAAAGAATTTTATGGCAAATTGTTCTCCTTGCATGCTTGGAATGAACAAATAACTATCCCTTATTTTACCATCTAATAATATTTTATCTTAGTGTGAATGATACTAGATGATAGTTAATATTTATTGTGTAATAATATTGAAAAATTTAACCACATTCATCATTATTTGCAGAAATGTTTCTATAAAGTATATTTCTCAATATTCTGTTTTCTACCTTAGTCCCCATAAGAGCTCCAAGTCTTCAGGGAAATTCCCAGTTCTAGCTACTTCATATAAAACAATGCTGGCTACATTACTCAGTCTAAATAAAGAAAGATTCATCCCAGAACATATCCAATGCTCAGCTTCTGAAAGTTTCCCAGACTCAGAGTTCTCCAGGGAATATTTAGAAGTCTATAGGCATAATATATTTGTTAAATGAGTCACATATAATGGTATTTATAATAAATAGCATTTGATAATTAAAAAGATAAAGTATTAAGTATTAAGTGAAAAGTATTAAGTGTCTAGATAATTTGTTGTTAATATAGAATGGTAGCTCAGAATTTCTCAACATCTATCAGGAGACAGGAGTGGAGGCCTCAGAAAAATGTTCTTCATTTTTTATCTCTTTCATCAGTCCCCAAGAGGAACAGGACCACTTCACAGGTTCATGAGAGAATTCACACTTAATGGCCCACCTAGGATAAAGGATTTAGGAGTTGGAGCATTTATATCCCAAGACCCTATCCAAATTAGGTGAGAAATGAAACCTCCCTGGAGGACATATTTGAGATCCTCTTAACCAACATGCTCAGATTGAAGAAGCTGCCTGGATAAGCTAAACATTTCAAACCTACAAGGAAAAAAGAGTTCAGTTGCCATGACTCTACTTGGATGACTGAGAATCTTTATCAATATAAATCAGGGGGATATTAACAGTTCTTACAGCATTCAACTTTTCAGTTTAACTTTTCAAAATTCAAGTATGAATTTAGGTTTCGATGTTAAGACATTCAGAAAAAACATACATTTATTTGAAAAATATTTGTTTCAGCTTTAGGGTGAAGGATTAGGAGTAGTGCATATGAATATAAAATACTACTAGAAAAATGAAGCTTCCTTAACATGTATACAGGTAGTCCTCAACTTACAACCATTTGTTTAATGAGTGTTCAAAGTTACAACGACACTGAAATTAGTGACTTATCAATGGGGAAACCAAATTCACTCAACATCCATGTTACTAACTTAATAACTTCAGTGATTCACTTAACAATTGTGGCAAGAAAAGTTGTAAAGTGGAGCAAAACTCACAACAACTGTCTTGCTTAGCAACAGAATGTTTGGCTTCCATTGTGGTAGTAAATCCAGGACTACCTATATTACAATATTTGTCATATACCATCAGCTGTACTCTTGTTTCCATTTATTTGATTTGCCATTTTCCCCTAATCTACTTTTTTCCAGATGCATTAGACTTCAGCTGGCATAATAATCCAGCAATATTATCTTTTGGATTGTGGATATGGGAAATGAGGTGTACACATGATTGGAGAACACTATTTTAAAATAATGGACAGAAAAAGGATGCTGCTTTAACATCAAAAAGCTAAACTCAGAAACCCATGCAGAAGAATCAAAATCTTACTGTCCAACCCTGACTCTGTTTCCTTCTTCATAGATATTGTGCATTGTCCCTGTTGAGTAGGTTTTGCAAAAGAGAAATACCAAGATTCTACATGATTGAAATGCAGTGTTTGATCTCTGCTTCTTCTTCCCTGCAGTTATGATGTAGATTCCAAGAGTCCAGACCTGACCAAACATGTAAGCTAAGTACACATTTTCTTCTCCGTTTATATGTTCTTGAGATACTTACTCTTTGATCCAATTTTTGTTGCCTCATATTCATTTAATGCAGAGGTCTCCAAACTTGGCAACTTTAAGACTTGTGGACTTCAACTGCCAGAATTCTCCAGCCAGCTATGCTGGCTGGACAATTCTGAGAATTGTAGTCCACAAATCTTAAAGTTGCCAGGTTTGGGGACCCCTGATGTAATGCAATGAACCAGAATTGTAAAAAACAACAACCCTTTGATTGATCACCCATATGATAGATGCTATGCAGGCTTTTACTTGCTTCCACTTAGCTGTACCTTTAATTGAGTGCTCAAATATGCCTAGATCACTCTGTGTTTTGTTTAGAATTGTGTGCAAATCAAAATCTCTGATTTGTTCTTCTCTTACAAGCTAGGGTCTAAAACTATGTTTTTCTCTTAGCTTCTGATTCTGTTTTTCCAGAAACAAATAAATCAAGCCCTTGGTTCACATTTAATTCTAAATAAACAATGGACTGAGTTATCCAGGTTTCAAAATCCACTCCCATTAAGAATGGAAGCCAAATGCGATTATGAATTGGGTATGAGCATGATACTTATTAAATTAAACTTCTTTACAGTTTTAGTTAACCATGTGAGGGTTCCCAATTTTGGATTAATATATTTATCTATTATGCATTGGATAATAATACTAATTGTGATTTAATGCAGTTGGCTAGGAATACTGGCAGAGATGTTTGCTATTGATTGCTTCCAGACTCAGCTAAACTAAAGGTGCTAGGCTAGATTCCTACAGAGTTACAATGGTTTCAGGTCCAGGAAGCATCACATATGCTTGCAGATGCCCCAATATCAATCAATTAATTAATTATGAAATTATATAAAATGGCTGAAATATTGCAAAATAGACAAATAGTGAAAAGATTTTGCCAGAGATCTCCCTCAAGAATCCTAAAATCATGGCCATCTACCATTAAAAATGGGGAGAAAAATTCAAATTTCAACATTCTTGCTTCAAAATCTTTAAGAATTTATGTAAGAACAACAAACCAAAAGTTGAATTTTTAAGAATTATTTTAATAGAATCATTTTAATATATTGTATTTAATTGTGGGGCATCACAAATACCATATACAGTACATGTACTGCAGGGACTTTTATGCTTATAGTATGGGGATTGAATCTGGGTCATTCAGAATGCAGCCAATGTGGGGTAATCCATTGAATAAAGTTGTGAAATATTGCTAAAACTGCATTTTATTTCTGCCCATTCTGCACATACTTTGATTCATACTATTGCTTTATTCTAAATTATTATAATGTTTTACATTTCAAATAAGTAAAAAACTGCAAAAAGTATATAGTGAATCTCAGTTTTTATTTTTGCTAACTGCTTAAAGCATGTTTAAATAATTTTGGTAGGTACTCATTGTACAGTGTAGGCTTATGGGGTGACAACATAAATTATAATAAATTGGCATGCTTTGAGGAAACAGATATAGTCAAGTTATGCTGGAGAAAAAAATAGCAGCCTATTTTTTTAATCTTCTGTTTTACTAACATTACTGGCAGATTTAATTTATGAGAATATGACAATCAAAATGATCTCAATTCTGCTGCATTCTGGATCTGCAGAACAGTATTAAGGATGCTAAAGGCTGAAGCACCTGTTACACCTGGACAGACACTGACTAGGCACTGAGCCTGATACATGATGTTCTTGTTCCATGCAATTATCCTGATGCTACTGTCTTTCCACCAGCCTGATTTTTTAAAATTCACCAATGTTTATAATTCAGTACATGTTAAAGCATGTACTATGACCAGATTCATAAATTCCTAGCCACTTAGTCCCAAACTTTTGTTGCAAAAACTGTAGAAAGGAGCTACATGAGTTGACTGAAGGACTGTCCTCTATAAATTAACCAGAGCAGAAGTTAAGTTTTTAATAATGTCTTGCCTTCAATCTTTAGGAGCTTTAAAAAGAGGAGGAAACCCTGTAAGGAGGAGAAGTTTCATAACATTCATGTCTATTTCTTTCATCAGGATTTCCTTGGTCAAACATTCTGTACTCTGGGGGAGATTGTTGGATCACCAGGAAGTCGCTTGGAGAAGCCTTTGATGTGAGTCACTAGTCAATACCATTTGTGATGTCATTAGTGGGACTTCAAGCGTCTTCTTCTTCTTCTTCTTCTTCTTCTTCTTCTTCTTCTTCTTCTTC